GTGTGCATCTTTGATTTTTAAGTTATTATGTTACTGACACTTAACAAATCTAAAACGTATTTCTTTCTCAACTCAAATATATAACTCAAACGACGATTTGTTTCTCACGTTTCAATAACATTTAATTGTTAGTGTTTTATATAATAACGGTATTTCCGTTCACTGTTCGTAGAGACATGACTTGTATTAAGATTCCGTAAGAATAGACACAGTAAAATACAGCATAGCAAGTTGGGATTTAATACATATGTCGTAGCTAGTTGGGACTCAATACATATGCCATAGCTAGTTGGGACTCAATACATATGCCATAGTTTCGATTAGAGAAACAACTCTTTGTTTGTACAATAAATGAATAGTTAGTAGCTGTAGTTGTCGAGAATTGAAAAGACCATTCTACAGGTCACCTTGCACTACTTGGAAACAATACACGTCGATGACATGACGTTTTTTTCATAAATTCTATCCAAAAACACAGTTCCACAAAAATAAAGATGTTAAGGAGAACATGAGTTTGGATATTAAGAACGTTTTATACTAATAAACTAATAGGAAACCTTCTGGAATATGGATTATTTAGTTTTCTACTAGCGGAATTACGACTTTCATTCATGATGGCGAAGTACGTACTTCAGAGATGACAAGAGGAATAAAGTTAATGTTTCTCCAACGTCTTTCGTTTCCTAGTTAACCCAAGAAGGACTTTGAATTTCCTTAATTAAGTTTAGGCCTAAAGTATATTATATTTATACAACTTAAAATGCTCTAAGTATCCATATTAGTAGTTAAATAAACTGTTCTAGGCTAAACTGACATTCGACCAGCAAGTGACCTTTATAAATTACTCTTTTTAAATGTTTTAGAGACATTAATACAAACAATAGATTGCCTGTGCAAGGCTAGTATTAAATCATTTGAACAATATATTTCGTTTATAAGGAATATTTCTAATCAATAATAAATTGATTTAAGATTGATGTTAGACATTTGAAAATATGAGATATCTACAATAACTACTTACACTTCTCTGTGAAGCATTTAAAGAACTTATTCAGGAATGTGAACTTATACTTGCTCATAGAAATGTTATATAATACGTATACTTGCTCATGGAAATGTGATATACCATGTATACTTGTTCATGGGAATGTGATATAACGCATGTACTTACTCATGTTACTTCAATATTTATGTAAAATTTTACATTTAGAATAGAAACAGTAAAAATAGTAAATATTTAACTGTGTAATGTAATGCATTACACATGTGAAAATAGGTTATATATTTGTATTGAAAATAACGATACAACTGTGGGTAAACACGACCTGATTATTGATCTATTATCAAAATACAAAATAAGCTAAGTGGTATATTATAAATGAATATACACAGCCTGTATTAAAGTTACAACGT